GGGGGGGGGGGGGGGGGGGGGGGGGGGGCTTAGTGGGCAGCAAGGGTCGAGAATTCGGAATGAAAGACACAGACAGAGGGGGGTAGAAACGAAATCTGTGCGTTCCTTTGAGCTCTTGGACATTGACCACGCGTCTCTCCGACACCAATACGGCTCTCGACGTACGCACGTGATACATGTTTCTGCTCTTGATTTTTTTTTGGGTTTCCCATCATCGGATTATGTCGTCTGCCCCTCTGGCCCCTATCCTCCACTATTACTAGCTAGACGACCCAACCGGGGTCACATAGGAGGGGGGGGCTGGACCCCCTCCTGCGGGTCGTACATGTACACACGTAACCAGTCGCCCCGGTGGTCTAGTGGGTAGCTTCGCAGCCTGCCAAGGGCCAGGTCATGGGTTCGAGTCCCGACAGAGTGAGTTTTTTCTCGCTAATTAAATCCTGGTCTCCGTTGGAAGCGACGCGCTGCAATGCTTGTTGTTCGTAAACTTGATCGACTTCAGAAGTCGCGAGGGAAGGTATTGCTGTATCCTTCTCGCGATAAAAACATCTCAGGCAGGAACCGCAGGAGGGGGTCCAACCCCCCCCTCCTATGTGACCCCGGTTGGGTCATCTAGCTGGTAGAAGTGGAGGATAGGGGCCAGAGGGGCAGACGACAGAGTCCAATGATGGGAGAAAAACGAAACTAAAACGAACACGTGTTTGCGGCTTCAATCTCTTCCCGAATACGGACCGCTGTAGCCTGTTGCTTGAGCCTCCACACAGCATTCGCGAACAGCCCTTGAGGTGACCCCCCTCCCAACATCTCCCCCAAACCACCATCAACACAACCCAGAAAAGGTAGAATAACCAATCGGTCGTGAAGCTCAATACACACCTGTTGCTGCTGGGAAAGCGACGGGAAGCCGCCCTGAGCATTCCCCGTCTGCTGCTGCTGCTGCCCCGTCATCGCCACAAACAACCAGTCCGCACACGGGGAGTAGAGAAGAAGAGGGAATCAGGAGAGACGGTTGAGTGGGCCAATCAACGGCGACGACGAAATGACTCAAGCACGTGTACCACATTTTATCCGCCATGAAGTGTATACGCATACGACGCATACGAATAAAATGGTGCATTGTCTACGTCAAAGACTGGCGGTGCTAAACGCGACCCCCTGAGTCCATGACGGCACGACACAGGCGGTGTATCTACCCCCCTCTGCAGGATTAGAGCCGCAGCTCTCAACTTGCTGGTTACTACATTGGTTCAAGTGTTAGTAACTTTTAGGTCTTAGGGTAGTCACCAACTACGCGAAAAGTCGGCAAGAAGCAAGAACGTCCGGTTGCAACTGACACTAGCCAAGTCTCTCGAAGTTAAGCACGATTGTTTTTCTCCTGGCCAACAACGATACTTTGATGTTTTATCTTCGAGTACGTACGACGGCGGTAGACCGCCGCTGCCACCGCCGTACAGATTCCTCGTCGCACCACCTCCAACAGCACCCTCTTAAGCCGGGCCTCCAAGCAAACACACGACGAGGAGTTTCCCGACAAAGCGACAGCCTCTGGCGAGAGGTAATTCCACCGTATCTCCGATTCGATACCGTACTTGTTCAACCAACGTGCGTACATGAGTCACCATGGCATTACGGTGGTCGTTTGAACGTCATCATCACACTTCACCCCGCCCAACTTCGTTGCTATGTGTGTGCGTGTGTGTACCCTTGCCGGCAGTTTGAACATGTACGACCGCGCGTCCAGGTAGCTTCGCACCAAAAACCTGAAAGATCACTCGCTCGCAACAGCCGCTGTTCACCAAGCCATGGACCACAACGCTTCTTAATCTCTGGCACAGTACTCATGTGTCGACAAAAAAAAAAAAAATCACCTGGACAGGTACGATAACCGCAACGTGCGTCGGAGGGGGCTCGGGTCTGTCGATCAT